TGCAAGTTTAGACAAGAAAAACAAGTTCAAAAAATACAAAATTCTCGTATTTATTTTTTAAAAATAATAACAATTCCTAAATTAACTAATATAAACAAAACCAATGGTTAAATAACGCAATATATTTCATACCTAATTATACGGGGGAAACGATAAAATAAAAAGAAAACACTTGAAAATTATCGAACCGAAACGATAGTTAAAAAAGGCACTATCATAAATATTAAAACCGGAACAAAGCAAGATCAACGGAATTTTAAAAAAAAACCTAATGATAAAATTTATGAATAAAAAGAATTAATTTATTGAGTGCGAAATTTATCGTGAAAAGAAGAAGAAAAAAATCAAACATAGTGAAATCGGAAAAACAAAACTGCAATCTGCGTCATAAAATAATCCTATGTTTAAATTAATAAACAATTCTCCTTTTATTTTTTTGTTGATAAAAACACGATATTTAATTACAGCTGATGTGATTCCACATCAATAAAAACTTGCAAATGATACCGCACTTCCAAATGATACCGCACTTCTGTTCACTGATATGCATGCAATGCATTTTCCCACCCCCACCCCCTCGTAAATCAAACAGAAAACGAAATCAGCATGCCACACCCTTGAGCTTGATTGACGGCCTAAAGGAGAAAATAAAACATTCCTCCCTTCCTTGCCTTCAAGGTCGCGAAGGAAATGATGTTTCTCTGGGTAAACGGGGAAAAAATTCTCCCCTTCCTTACATTTTCCTCTACTCAACTTCAAGGATGAGTTCAATTTCCGTTTTTTTTTTCATAATTGTTCCAGTTTAAAATGGCGGGAAAACCGATCAAAATTTTTCCCGGTTGTCTGGATACCAGGTAAATGGTTCTCTACTGTATTTAATTGCATATTAAAAAATTCGAGCTATAATAACTTTAATGTGCACCCATGTATTAAACAATTAATGTGCAACAGATATCTAATTGTTAAGATATAAAGCTTTAAAAAGGTTTGTATTAAAACTTACATAGTAGCACACAAAATGTTCAATGAGAAAATTGAGGTTTGTCTACTGCAACCACCAGAGATTAGATATTTACATTTTAAATTTAAAATTTACAAATATTTGTGTAAATATTTTCGTCTAAAATGAGTGGTTCCAAAAAGTTAAATCGGAGAATTTCTTCGAGAAAATTTCTGTTACACACACGCTGAATTATATTCACAAAATACAAAATGAAATAAAGAAGAGCAACATGCACGATTATTTTAATATTTGAACAAATATTTTCTTGGATGCAAAACCTGAGAAATAATTTTTTTTGCACTGTTAGTATGTTAAATTTCACAGAAACGAAGAAATTAGGTTTTTATTAACGAGAAAAGTATTTCAAACTCATATAGATTTTTTAGGAAAATTGTCCGTCCGTAAAAAAAATTACAACTAATATATTTTAGTTCGCGGGCCACCAGTTGGAAACCACTGGTATAGACGGTGTTTGTGACGATAATGTATGCTTATAAGTATACTGAAGCTGTAAATTGTGTTTTTCTGTGTCTATTAGTTTTGTAATAGACAATTAATTTTGTGTTGTCTTTCTATAAAAGGCGCTTCAAGAAATTTCTGTTGAAGATAGGAGGAGGAAGTTGGAAAACAGCAATGCTGAACTTGCCGCAATCAGTAACAGGATAAATGATGTAAATAAAAATGTTAAAGGTGGGTACAGTTAGTCTGAATAGACCTCAAAGTTGTTAAATTTCTTAATTTTCTTTAAAAAAAAGTGTCCATAAATAAAATATCCTTAATTATTAAAAATTTCAATAAATATCCTGAATTTTTTATTTTCCAAAATTTTGTTGAGGTAAACATCAAGAATAAATATTATTTATCTGAAAAAGGATTGAATAAATTTCAAATTCAAAAATTTTGTTGTATGCCATGAAACAAAGTAAATGACAAAAAAGAAATAAGTCTTCATAGGGTGTCCAGTATGGTATTAGTTTACTTCCATTGTTAGAGACAATTACCCTTGACTTGATGGTATAGTACATTCCTTGTGGGGTAAATATATAAAAAGCTCTTATCTCTCTTCTTCCATCACTATATCATTTTCTACTGATTTATCTTTGAACAAGTACACATTAATGCTTACAAAAGTTATTATAATTTCTAACTTGCAACTAAAAGTAACAATTTACAATGCAAAATTGTTACTTTTAGTTGCACGTTTTTTTCACAGTATGGATGTCTATATGGAATAACAAACCTAATATTATATTGTTTGTCAATAGAGCTTGAGCTGAAGTTTGAAAAATTCAATTCTGAACAGAAAAGCACTCAGAAAGAATTAGAACATTGGAAAGCTCAAGAAAGGGAATTTCAAGAGAGAATCAACGAGGATGCCAAAGATTTAGAAAAAATGACGAGCAAACAATCACTTCTTTTAAAAAAGGTTTTTCATTTTCTCTTTATCATATGAAGTAAATTTATAGTTGTCTGCATGCTTCTTTTACCCGTTCCTGCCTATCATTATTCAGATGATGGCGTTAGCCTTAATATTGGCTGGCATTTTGCTTGGAGGAAATTTATTAAAATGTAAGAAACTAAAAATGACCCAATACTTTAATTCAGCAATGAGTGTTATAAGAATAGCTTAAATTAAATTCAATTTAATATAGTCCCAGGAAGTTCATAGTTTTTCACATCAACTCTTAAAAAAAAAAAAACTGTTTTTCTATTATTATTTTTGTTTTATACTGAATGTTAATATGAGTTAAAGTCTTGGTTTAGTTTTCATGCGTAGCAACACTATTATTAGTAGTTTATTATCAGCCACCATATATAAAAATGAACGCCCAACGGCTGAGTGGTAGAGCTTCCCACTCTTGTGCCACAGGTCCTGGATTCGATTCTCAGACCTGGCAAGGTTGATTCAGCCTTTCATCCCTTCAGTGGGTCGATAAAATGAGTAGCGAGCATGCTTGTGAACTAAACAATGGGGGTTTTGCATTCGGCTGACCACCTAACCGTAACGCACCAGCCTTAACCTCACCACCTTAGGTCAAGAGATCTAAGATGTGCACAGTAGGCCTTGGCCAACCATGGGCTGTCGCACCACTGTGTTTAGTTTATATATAAAAATGCATTGATTTTAAATTCTTTTGTAACTTTAGAACAACTCTTTAGTTCTAGCGACTTTAAAATTTCTTTAAAAAAGAAGCAGATTATCTTTATTGCTACTCTTTATAAACATAATGATATAAATAAATGATTTTTTAAAAAAAATGACCCAAGTGACAAAAATCTTTGATTTAATCATTTGATTTAAATCATTAATAACCTTTATACTCTCTAAAATGACTAAAGTGGGAAAAAAATACCCTCTTGGTGTAACCTTTGATATAATGAATTCCGGCAGATAGAAGCATAGTTCCAATGTGTAATGACTTGAATAGCTGTACCAATTCACTTTTCAAGGTAGGCAACAGGGGCATAACAATACTCAAATGGTCTATTTTTCCATTTGAAAAAATGTATAAACATGTGAAAGTTTTATGATAAAATATGAGCTTATTAATAAAAAATGTCAATAAGAAACTGTATGAAACAAAAAAAAATTTAAAAATGAGCAATATACTTGTATGACTGGCAATGAGTATAAAAAGAATAGCTCAAGTTTAATGTCGTACTTGTTTTTCTTATCAATTTAATAACTATTTTTATATAATGTATATCAAATCGGTATATCTTTTTATTTAAGAGCCAATTTTGTGTATTCACACTTAACAGTATTTGATTATGTAAATTAGTATCCTATTTGTAATTGTGAATTTAATATATGTTTTCTAGTACAGTGCCCGCTGTTTATTAAAATCACTTTCGTTTTATGCTCTTCTCATTTTATTAAGTGGCTGATTTTATTAAGAGGCGATTCAACATTTGAAGAAACAAACAGATTTTATGATATATTCTAAATGCACACACTTTAAAAGCTGAAATAATGACCACATTAATGCTTTATTTTAACTAATTTAATTATTTTAATAAAGTAAAACCCTACATAAGATTAAATTTACAAAAGTTTTGCAAAAAACCGATCAATGGTTGCTTGAGTTGCAGTATTTAAAATTAACTTTTCAACATCATTTGAGAGTTTATAGAAGTTTTTATAGTTTTCGATATTCCTCCTCTTTGTTCTAAAGCTTGCCGCAATAGATTAAGTGCTTTTCTGACTTCCATTGAAGATGGTACTGATGAGTTTATTTCATTTTCTGAGTCTAATTCCTCCATTTCTTGATGGGAAATAACTTTGCAATTTTGAATGTCTGTAACAATTTTAGAATCAGATTTTTCTCCTGATGTTTGCAGGTTATCGTCAATAGCTACGTAACGTGAAAAATTCTGGTCCATTTCATTTTCTTCATTGCTGATCATTTCTTCGAAACAGTTATGAGCCCCATCTCCATTGAAGCTTCACGTTGACTACATTTAGGAAGCTTATCATAGTTTTGCGACACTTCGAATTTATCTTTAAGACTTAAAACCTTCCTTTTCGGCATGCTGAGAAAATTTAACACCAAACGAACTTGAAAATGATATGTGCTCTAACTATAATTTACTCAAACAGCTTAAAAAATATGGAACATGTGCACAGACAGTTTTTAGAAATCTATTCATGTTCTCTGTTAAGATAGATAACAAAGGAAACTTCTCTCCCTTCTATGGTTCATTCAATAAAAAGTAAGATAAGAATTCGACCCCCTGTTGAGTGAGATAGGTTTCTCCAAACTTCATTCAACTCAAGGAATTAGCATTGATAAATTGATTTCTATGAACTCGCCGCTTACGACCTACATTTTTACTTAACTCTTACACTATGTATATAGCAGGAAAGTGCTAACCACACCTGTTTCACAGGTTTGTGAGTAACTGTTGCTTCTTCTAAAAAAATCTTTAAACTTCGAAAAAATAAAATTTTATAAATAAGAACAAAAAAAGCTGAAATAGTGCACCTTTGATTTATTATGTAGTCAAAATTTTGATTTTAAAAAGCGGTGGCATTGATTTTATTAAAGGATGTTTTTAACATGTATTAATATTGTAAGGATTCGGTTCTTGCCGATTTGATTTTATAAAGCGGCTGATTTTATTATCCGGTGATTTTATTAGCGGCAGGCACTGTAGTGTATATGCTTAGTATGGGATTCATTAATTTAATAGCACTGTAAAAATTTGATTACGATATTTTAACATGGGAGGGGGGTGCACNTGGTCTTAGATTAAGGTCCTTGAAAATTTTGTTGAGGTCCTTGAAAAGTCCTGGAAAGTCCTTGAATTTCGATCTCATCATAGAGTGGGAACCCTGGTTTATTAACGAAGAGTTGCATGCACATTCTAACATGTTAGACGAATATGGTAATTTTTATGCAAGCAATAATGCTCTAAGCATTAAATATTTTTTATCAGTCAACTTAGTAATACATTTGCAAACAATTAAGTACTCAAATGGAGAAAAAAAAAATTGTTCCAAAAATTCATTCCAAAATAAGTGACTTATTTCTTAAAAAAGAAATTCATTTTTATCAAAAATCAAATTTATCAAAATAAATCTAAACATTGGAGAAAAGTATTGCTTTTTTCCCATCACATAATGCAAAAGTTCATTTTAAAATCAATTCTATTAATAAAAAAAACTGCAATTCTAGTATTCTCTTACACAAGGAGAGTAAAAAAAAAAAAAAAATATTTCAATGATCAATGTAATTGTACACTCCTACTTTATCAGGAGAAAAATTGTTTTTTATTTTGAGGTGGTTATCTTGATTTTTTACTTATTGATATTCACCAAGATGAGTTTGACGTCCCAACATTTTATTTAATTAATCTATATGCCTTTGAGAGTCTGTTTATATTTAATTAATTCTAAAACGTTGGTATTTTATCAAAATTTGTTATGCATGTTTTAAGCGTTGTTTTGGTAATTTTTTGAAGACATTTGTTAATTCATTTCTTATTATAGAAAGAGGAATTTACTCGAAAAATCAGGGAGCTTGGTTCATTGCCATCTGATGCATTTGAAAAATATCAAAATTTGAGTTACAAACAAGTAAGTTAAAATTCATTTCAGTAAGTGATTTCTATTTATTGTTTTCTTTGTTACTAAGTTGGTAAATTTATTTATTTTTAGCTTTATAAGAAACTTGAGCAGTGCAATCATGAACTAAAAAAATATAGTCATGTAAACAAAAAAGCATTAGACCAGTTCATCAGTTTTTCTGAACAGAAAGAAAAGCTTGTCAATCGCAAGGCTGAGATCGATCGAGCTTACAATGTAAGTATTCAGATTTGAGATTTATTGTTTTAATATATGTTTCTATATAATGTGTGTTTCCATTATGTGTTCTACAAATCAGGCATTGGCAAAAATTATTGATAATTTTTTTGAGCAATTTCTTTTTTTAAAATCCCAATATCTTTCATTGTTCAGTTATTACTTTTGATATTCTCATGGTTTTTTATTTAAAATTTTTATATTATTATGGCACGTGGAGTTCGAATCACGGATTTTTGAAATCACTCTTTGACACTCTCGATTGAAGCCAATATTATCATTAATCCATGTATTGTTTCAATGGTTTTTTTCACCAGTTATCGCTTCGATGCGTGGAAATAAAATCCTGATTTTTTTTTATACAATTTTATTACATTCAAAACTCAAACCACATATTTGATTATTTACTTTTGATGTGACGATTTCATCATTTTTTCAACAGTTTTAGCTAGTGCTACCGATTTTCACTCGGTTTTAAAAATTCCAGTTATATCGCAGTTGATTTTATTTCTACATAAAAATAAATAAAAGTTTCATTACGCATTTAAATAATCACTTTTTCACACCATCCATGTAGTGTTTCAATTCCATTTTCAGCAGTATTTGATATTGATTTGTACATGGTCTATAAATGTTATATATTTCAGACTTTATAGAAAATTCAAATCATGCATTTAAAACTCATGCATTTGAGTATTTACTTTTTAACGCAATGATTTTATAATTTTTTTTTTGTTGCAGTTATTGCAAAAGATTTCCATGATATTATCTATTAAAATAACCTATTCTCAAAACGAAACACACATCTGAGTAACCCCTTTTAGGAGAGTTTGATGTCCATCTCATTTTCAATAGTTTCTGATAGGGATTTTACCATTTTTAATTTTTTTTTAATGTGATGATGATTAGCAAAAGGCAAAAATATAATAATTGTGTGTTTTCCCCGTACAAAATGCGAGAATATTGCACCTAGTATTAGAGTAAAAAATATTACATATTTAATGAAAGAAATTATGTATAGATTTATTTTATTCAAATAGATTCCCCCCTTTTTTGTTGTATATTTGTTATTAATATCATGCAGAAAAATACCAGTGCTAGAGAGGTTTGTCTCAGAAAGCACGAAAAAATTCTGCCACAGCGGTTCCAATTAAGGAACAGTCTACTAATTATATGGCAGGTTAAGGCATCTTCCCTTACCCACAGGATTTATTGCTTAAATTTTTTTCTGAAATACAGTCATTGTATGAATCAAACTCAAAATTTTATATTATCAAATTCCTATGGTGATGAATTCAGGGGGCATGGTCGCCTATTTATTATTTTTAAGAAAATGCAACAACAAATTTCGTTTTCATGTGATTTTTAAAACTTAATGATTCTTATTTATATGCATAGTAAAATAAAGAATTTGTCTTCATATCGGATTGTGGGATATACAGTAGGCACTAAAAATACGTCATTCAACTTGAAGCTAAATAAATACATTTGTAATCAAATTAGGAAACTCTATTTTCAATTTTTTTATTATTTTTAATTCAGAGACAGAATTTTCTCATTGATTTAGCTAAACCATTATTTTAAATTAAGCAGTTTCGTCAAATATTTTAGGGATAACATCAGATATGTTTGCTAGCTCTTAATAAGAAAAACTGTTTATTGTGTGTTCAGTAGTACTTAATTATTTTTTAAACCTTATCCCAGATTATCTGAATGATCTATGTATCGTGGTACCATAGATGGACTATGTCATCAAATTAGTATTCCAAAACCATGTGTTTATTTTAGTTATAAGTTAATCATTTTAATGTCTTATTATATAAAACTTCATCTAAAATCAACACTAATTCAAATGAAAAAAAGTTTTGTACTGGAAACAAAATGGATAGAGAAATGAAACTAATTTGTTGAGAAGAGACTTAAAAAGAACGTCTATTGATGCAAATGATAATTAATTTTTACCATTATGAGTTGACCTTGAGCACAGGCATCATGCCCAAAGATACTGAATATAGTACATCTTTATTTTAATTTGATGATCTTCAAAAAATGTGCTTTGCGTATTCTAATGACGTAATGTTATCTGAAGGGCAGCAAATAATATTAATTAAGCCTTATTAATTGTGGCAATATATAACTTTCAGATTTGTGCATGACTTTGTTAAGTACTGGTTTATTTATTTTTTTAACCTGGTATTCAGCTGAAAGTTAATTTATGTGCACAAAACTCTAATTTTAAAAGAACTATGCTGCTCGGAAAAGAAATACTATTCTCTTCGATCTGCTCTATAAGCCAAATTTATTTGTCCCTAAACTTATTTTTTATGCTCCAAATTGATAATGCTGCTGTCCCATTCCTGAAAATGCTTTGGTACATAATTATTGGGAAATATTTTTTGGTGTAATTTAGAAAGAATTGAATAATATTTGATAAATATCTATAACAGGGGCAAACTTGTTTATATTATCTGAAAAGTACAGGGATGGTTGCAGAAGCATTTCCAGTCTCTGAGTCATTCCTGGTGTTTGTTTTTTCTTGGAAGCTTGCTTCTTATTGAGATGTTTTAAACTTTGTAAAGTTTTATCTGAAAAAGAAAAGGCTAAAATTATGAAACATTTAAGTCTAATAAGAACAAAAGTATAGTAATATGTAAGCAGCATAGTTAAAATAGGTCGTAAATTTAAAATTTATGTTACCAATGAGAGCAACCAATGAGAACTTTTCTGAATCCCTCCTTATAAATGGGTCCTGATGTATAAAATATGAGGGTTAAATAAAAAGTTATTTAAAAAGAATCCTGTCTCAAAACATTAAAAAGGAACAATGTAATGCTTTGAAATTTCTTGGATTCTTTTTTCAAACAATTTAATTAATAATTAATTCTCTCAGGCCATAATGGAGTTAATGGACCATTTGGAATTGAAGAAATTTGAAGCTATTCAGTTGACATTTAAGCAAGTATCTAAATTTTTCAGCGAAGTATTTAAGAAACTAGTTCCACATGGCCATGCAACTCTTGTCATGAAAACAGATGAAGAAACAGGAGGTCAAGTAAGTTCTCTTAAGTCAATTTAACTGTTAAGAGACATGAGATCCTCAGATCCACAATTTCTCACTTTTTTAATCATTTCTGAGTTTTTTGTGATATATTTGAAGGTGTTAAAAAATTAATTAAATAAATTTAAGTTATGCTATCACAAGGGTGCCACTCTTCAGTTCTGGGGACTGAAATCAGTCATGAAAGGAAAAAAAAAAAAAATCAGTAGTCTAAATTTCATCAATTAATATCTCTTTTCCACTTGTTTTTTAATTTGAAATGTCCTTTTTTCCTTAATAAGTTGGCAAATATTTTCTGCTAAAAAAAAACATTTTAATGAAAACATTGTTATTTTTCATAATTATTGTAATGAGATCAAGTTATAATGTCACACCAAAATGAAATAATGGGATTAATGCTTCTATTACACAAATATTCAAAAACGTAAAAGTTATGCAGAAAATGAGGGGATTTAAACAATGCTTCAGTGCTTGCTTACACAAAATTTTGTGCTATTGTTGTGATTTGTACTATTGTGTTATCAGGATAGAGTTAAAAAAGTAGAATATAGGCAGCAAGATAACTTAAATAACCTTGTTGGACCCATATTTACGAATTTTGGCTCACTAAGGGTTCAAAGAGCTGCTATTTTCCGATATTAGCCGAATAAAGCAATGTCAGATTCACCCGATATTTTACAGCCAATTTACAACTAATATCGGCACTATGTACATTGGTCAGGTTCACCCTCCGCTATTTTATATTCATTGTTCTGCCAGTCTAAATATTGGAGCAATATTTAAAACTCTAGACATCCTAATTAATATTGGTCCCCTCTGTTCATGTTCATATAGGACCGATATTGAGCCCAACTAATGTTAGGGTATAAACATATCTAATCAGGGTTGGGTTTTTGACGTCAAAAAGTGGTTTTTGACATGACAAGGGTATAATACTGGTTTAAACCGTCAAAAACCCGTCAAAAATGTCAAAAATTAAAGTTTCCCAAAAAAATATATAAACTTCAAAACTACCAACAGTTGCCATGCATTATATTGAAATTTAATTATACTATAGGTAATCAGCAGGTTTTAAAATATTTTTTAATTAAAATTAAGGTAAAATAACAGATTTAAAATCTCAGAAATTTATATTCAAATGCATGTGCAGAAAAATTTTGCACAAAATTTTTTTAAATATTTATATTTTGAAAAAAAATTTTTTTTTTT